ATAATGATTCAGAAATAATTCTGTTGAAATTATGTAAGACGTATTAAAAAATATTAATAATAATAATTAAAGTAATAATAAATTAAAAATATTAATAATAATAATTCACTAATACGTCATTAAATGAGAAAACGATTTTTATAAAATATATTTTTCTATGCAGATATCTTTTCCTCTTTTTTTTTCTAGATTGGCAAGACGAGTGCCTGAGATTAAAATCTGTGATCAACCGAAGGAATTTAATTTACGCACTCCCAACGAGTGGTGGGAAAACTCTTGTAGCTGAAATTCTAATGTTAAGAGAAATTACGTGTAAAAAAAGAAATGCTATATTTATTCTACCATTTGTTGCAATTGTTCAGGAGAAAGTGAGTGATAAATTTGATACACCAAAAATAACATTGAATTACCAAGTGATTAAAATCGAAATATTTTAATCATTTTTGAAAATCGATTCCTGTTAAATATCGAAGAATTCCAATAACTAAACGTTTCAGTAAAGAAAAAGATGAGAAATTTTCTTTTATAATCTAATGAGTCACCAATTTAATTTTATGAATGATCTTCTCATTTTTCATTTTCACAGATTCAATCATTAGCCCCATTCGCAGTCGAATTAGATTTTCTAATCGAGGAATATGCTGGCAGTAAAGGTGGTTACCCCCCTGTAAAACGAAGACGAAAAAACAGCCTCTACGTGTGCACCATTGAGAAATCTATGGGAGTGATCAATAGTTTGATTGAAACTAAGAGATTAAAAGAAGTTGGAATGATTGTAGTCGATGAATTACATTTATTAGGAGAAGATGGAGGCCGAGGAGCAACTTTAGAGGGATTATTAGCGAAATTAATGTACATGAATGGTAATTAATCGTTTATTATGAAATCATGATCAGTCCATTAATTTTTTATTGTGAGAGAGAATTATTATGCTAATAATAATTATGGATATCGAATTTGTTGCAGCGGATATCCACATCGTGGGTATGAGTGCAACGATTGGAAATTTGGATGAAGTGGCACGGTTTTTGAAAGCAGATGTGTACACGCGAAATTTTAGACCCGTGGAATTAAAAGAATATATTAAATGTGAGGATCGCATATGGTTGATAAATACTAAAGAAGAGGATATATTTACGGATGAGAGGAAGATTAATTACCGAGTGAGTTTATGATAGCCCCTTCGATAATCGGAATGTACAAAAAGGCAATATGATTATTCTGGCAATACCACGAAATGATAGGTGTTTAAAAAATATTATAAATGGAAAAAAACATTTAATAATTATTTCGTGTAGGATAGACCAATTGGGGCCGTGTATTTTACCGCCACAGAGTTGGTGGGAGGGAGTTAAAGACATGTATGAATTATCTATGACAATTGTTAATTTTTTTCTG